CATTTTTGTAAGGCTGGAGACAAGCAGGGTATGCCATGCACTGGTGCAAACAATGGCACTCTCGTTTTGAACGCTGGTTTTAATGCTAGACTAGGGGCTTAGAGGGGCAGAAGAGGGCTACACCACCTCCACCATCTCCATCACCTGTGGATGTGGGTGCCCTCAGAGACAAGCCCCATTCCTTCATTTCCAGAGGCTACAAGTTCTTGTTTTTTGCCTGGATGCCGTGTGTGTTGATGACCAAGGTCACCTTCAGAAGCTGGCTGTACCCTTTTTCTCCTTCCTGTCTTTTTGCAGAAGATTTAGTATCGCAGACTGTGGAGAAATGGGGATGAGCTGCCTTTTCTCTGGTGGCTGAGAACAAGATGGTTTGCAGCGGTGGATATGCTGGTGTGTTGGGATTTTCGCTATTGCTTGGCAACAGCTGAAATAAAAATAATGAGTCAGACTCTGAAGACAAACAGATGGTAAAGCGTTTTCCCCTCGCTGGCATGAACTAAGGTGGCTTGAAGAGGGGTGGGGGGCTGGAAGGCGGATCTGAGCTGCAGCGCAGGACATCATCTAAGTGAGCGGGCCGCATCCGGTGCACGGGCTCTGAGGGGCCGGCTCCTTCGCAGACGTCCCCACACGTCTGCGGGAAGCCAGCATGTCCCCACGTGTGGGGGCGGTGTGTGCAAATGCATACCAGTTTCAGCCCCGTTACTGGGCGCCTGGCGCTCCTTTCTTGCAAATAAATCTGTCGTTTGGCCCCCATCCGGTAACTTTCCGCTGCTCACTGGCAGGTTCCTGCTGCTTCTGTGCTCAGAGCATGGGGTAGGCGCCTGGCAGGGACCGCTGGCCCCTCTCCTCACAGCTATAGGAAAGTGGCAGGTGATTCCCTAGCAGCCACCCAGATCCTGCAAGCCAGACAGAGCGATCGGATGCATTTTCACCATCTCCTGTGTCCAGAAGGAGTATGGAAGTTAGTCTGGTATGGCCACACGCAGCTGATGCTGGAGCTCCTGAGGTGAGGCAGGGAGGGAGAGGAGTATTTTTATTTTCCTGCGAGCAAAAAGCAAAAGCGCAGTAGGGACCACCGCATCCTTCTCTGCTGGGAGAAGGCAGTCACACCAAGCCAGAATGGGTACAGGCTGAAGGAAATAATTCAAATTGCCCTCTCCCATTTGCAGGAAGGAAAGCCTACAAATGGCCTTGAAATCCCCCATGGGGTGAGTTTCCAGGATTCAGTGCTTGACACCGCCTCTCTTCTACACCTGTTTTACTTTGCACTTTCATTTGGTCCTGACTCACCTGCAAGCAGGTTTGATTTATTCCAGTGCTGTTTACCCACATTGGTGCTTTTCCCCCTAAGGTAACTACATCAAATAAGTTCCCGTGGAGTGAGTTTTAATGCAGGCGGGCTATGAAGGTCTTAATCAACTTGATTCTTCACAATAACAATGTTATTGCGGGCCTGGAGAGGACCTGCAGGGAGAACCCGCAACCCCTTTTCTGTTAGAGACACTGCATGTGTGGCAGGGAACTGAAGTCACTTAAGAGCAAAATTAATACTCTACAATTATTTGAAATTTTAAAAAGAAACAAAAACAGTTGGGGGTCTCTGTTCATTTTGATTTAGCTACAGAATATTTGCACTAAAAAAGCCCTTCTCCTAATTCTTGCTTCTTTTTTTTTTCTTTCCTATCATTGGCCCCAGTATACCTGATACTAACAGCAGTAGCGAAGGGCTAAAAGAGGTCGTTGGAACCAGCTGAGGGCCTTGGAGTTAACATTAAGAAAAAACCCAAAACCCTAAAACTCCCCAGACCTCTTGTTAGAACATGATCTGTAGGAGTTTCATTAACCAACCCAACTTTGTAGCCAACACAGGGCTTTGCATTTAACACCACTAACCCTTGCCAGAGGAAATCTTACCAGTTTACTCGCAGATGGCAGGCAGGGTGTTCTGTGTGCACCATCTCGCCTGGCCCAACACCAACACCTCTTTGGTACTCAGCAAAGCTGTGTTCTAACATGGGGGAATGCCCTAGTAAAGCAGGGCCAAGAAACACCTTTTTTTTTTAAAGGAAAATGTGTGATTAATTAGAAATGTTACTTGGAACTACTGGCACTTGAGCTGGGTCATCTAAACCCAGTCAGAAAAGCCAGGTGATCCACACTAGCATGCCTGACTGCAAAGTTTATGTACCCTCTAATGTATCTGCAAGTGTGAAAACAACGTGGGTTTCAGTTATGCAGCAGTTTTAGTGGCTGGGAGGTGTTTTCTGTTTGCTCCAGGTCCCTGGGCTCTGAAGTGAAAGCATCAGGCCGCCTGCATCAGACAAGCTGCCAGAGGTTGGCTGAAGAGCTCGCACCGGAACAGCGTTTCTGCGCCCTCCTGTTTAGGTTATGCCCTGTGCAAGCTAATCTGATGTTCCCCAGACTGAAACTGAGAGGAGTGGTCAGACAAAAATACACAGATTAACACCGCACCTCTAGTTCAGCTGCACAGCATGGTACGTATGGGATTTGGGGTTTCTAGCCTGGGTCTTTATCACTTAATCAAGAGCTGGTCAGGTAGTTAATTGTTTCCCTCTCCCCTTCGGCACCCACTGATGGCAGATGTTCCCTCACTGGGGGCTGTATTTCCACTCTCGCCTCCTCTCTGGTGCAGCCACAGCCTCCCAGCCCTACCCCGGTCCTGCCAGAGGTTGTTGCAATATTCACCTTTTTTTTTCCAGAACAGTTTCCTCTGTTGTCAGCAGCTTGCCCTGGAGCTGAAACTCCCTCCTCTGCCCTAACTGGAAGGGCCACGCTGCCATGCCCAGCATGCTCTGAGGTAGAGCAGGAAGCTCTGAGGTTCAGAGCAGGAATGCCCCCCCAGCCACTAACACATCCTTCATCACTGAGCCTGGCAAGTGGAGCTGGCAGACAGAGGGAGGGTGCAGCCAGGATCCAGCAGCGAGGGTGCTTTTCTCTACAGAAACCTCCACCATAAACAGCTCTTGCATGGGAGAGCTGGCTGTTTTTTTTCCCTCCTGTGGGAATATTGCAAATCTTTGTTAAAACTTAGACAACCTCTTATTAGGGAATAGACATAAGCAATTTATACATGTTAGTTGCAGCTGTCTTAGTAGGAAACAATTAGGCACATTGCTACTTAGAACACAAACAGCCCAGAAGAGGCTTACAAAATAGAGCTCGCCAAAGCAAAAAATACTTCCAAAATGTCTCATTAGCAACAGCCTAGAGGTTTTTTTTTAAAAAAAAAAACCACTTTGGGAGGAGGGGAGAAAAGAATTCCACTGGCAAAAATCCCAACTTGGTCCAGCTTAGAAAAATTCATGCTTGTATTTTTGTTTTGTGAAAACTGTTGTTTTGCAAAAAAAAAAAAAAAAGATTCCACAGTCATATTCCTAGGAATTGGAAGCCCACAATAAGGTCTCTAAGTGACTTTCCAAGTCCTTCAGACCTCTGGAGAAAAATGTTTAAGAGAAGCATAAGCCAGGCTTGTCAGTGCAATATGAGAATGGGCGGGCTGCAACTGTTCCACCCACCCCTTCCCCTCACAATGGTTTATCCGCGTGGCCTCACATGCTCCTACACAGCAGGACTGCTGTTTTCCAAGAACAACCCATGTCTTCACTTAACAGCACCTTAAAGGGACCTGGTTTGCCCAGTCCTCTCCCAGCATCTCAGCTCAAGCATCACGTACAACTCATCTGTTTCGAGCACATCAGTGTTAATGTTCAGACCTGAGGTGCAAACAGAGGGGACTGCATTTAGGCAGGGAAGGTTTAAGATCTCAGCTATGCTTCCAGGCTGAGGTCCCAAGGCACACGCCCTGGATGCCAAATACACACTGTGCTTTGCCAGTTAGTTTCCACTATCATTTCTCCCCCTGTTGAACACCCGCCTGAGTCTGACCGTGACTCACATCAGCTTAATCCTAGCTCCAGAGGCAGGAATAATTTTATCCCCATCTGGAGCAACAACACAGCACCACAATACAAATGTTTTAAGGCATGAAGCAAAGAGCATCACATTCATGGGAAACCACCTAGAGGGTCAGCTAAGGACTGCACTCCCTGCAGCCCCTTGCTTGAATACAAGAATGAGAGAAGCCTGTTCCCTTGGAAGACGTGGCAGAAATCTGTACGTGATGGAAAGAAACAAGATCTGACAACACATCATTAAAAATCCACTAACAAGGGGTTTGGCTTTGTTTCTTTTTTTATTGTTTTTAAATATCACTTTTTTTTTTTCTTTCCAGAAGTCATTATGTCTGACTCCATTAACATTCAGGTAAACAAGTGAAAGAACAACAGATGGGCATGATCTTGTAGCACGGGCACAGCTGCTGGGCACAGGGCTTGCCTTTCTTTGCAGGAGCCGAACATCACTCTCCCTCGCCCAGCATTCCCTCCCTCTCCGTACCGGTATGGGCAATGGCTGGCGGCCGCCGCAGGACATTCCTGCTTCAAACGCAGCGAGAAGTCCAAGACAAGGCAGAGAAAGGCAGGCAGTTGTAGGATCACAGCACTTGGCCTCCCGCCTCGCTCTCAGCCAGGCTTTACCCTGATGGTGTGGAGGGGCAGGCGGTGGCAGCAACGGTGGCATTACCCGACCATCTGCAAAAATCAGACCAGCTCCCGGCCAGATGTCAGCAGAGGGCATTTTGGGCCATTTTCCGTCACTTTAGGAGAAGACCCTTGAGTGTGCACAGTACTGCCACCGCAGCCCGCCCTGAATTTTAGCAGAGTCACCCTATTTTGCAATCCACGTTAGCTCCCCCACAGCTGTGCCCCCCTTCCCTTGAGGGGGGGCACAATTGCAGCAGCCACTGCTGCCAGCAAGCAACCTTTTTGCCTTCCCTCAGCACCATTCTGGATGCGTCCCCAGCCCGCCTGCAGGCCCCCCTCCCAGAGGCTGGAAAAACCCATGCTGTTGAAGCCTGGTTCACAAAGCATCCTGGTGTTAAGGTTAACTGGTTGTAAAACTGCATGGTTCATCACACTATGCACACTATGAGAAATGTTTATTAAATTGATTTTTGTTTCATTTCTTTAAAAAAAAGGCAGAAAGAAGTTAAACACACTGCTTTGTGGCATGCTCCACAGTATGAAAAATCCCAAGCATTCAGTTAAGCTGTCAGCAGCTCTGTTTGACCTTTCGATACAGTCTTTGAACTTAGACCTGGACAGTTGACTCTCCTCTTCCCCACCAGCCTCTCTCCTCCTCCCCACCTCAGCTCATGCATGGTTCATCACACTATGCACACTATGAGAAATGTTTATTAAATTGATTTTTGTTTCATTTCTTTAAAAAAAAGGCAGAAAGAAGTTAAACACACTGCTTTGTGGCATGCTCCACAGTATGAAAAATCCCAAGCATTCAGTTAAGCTGTCAGCAGCTCTGTTTGACCTTTCGATACAGTCTTTGAACTTAGACCTGGACAGTTGACTCTCCTCTTCCCCACCAGCCTCTCTCCTCCTCCCCACCTCAGCTCACAGCCATTTTCTCAGCTGTCACTACCTCCAGGAGGATGCTTCCCTGGAGAGGGAGGGGTTTGTATTTACAGCTCACAATTTCATCCTTTGTTTGTTTTTTGGGGGTGCGAGGGGAGCAGGACGTGTTGCACACACAAATGCGCAAGTATTCAGGAGAGGGTCTGAGGCAGGGCAGGGGTCCTACCTAGTGTTTTTTTCCCCTTCACCTCAGCCAGCTTTGGGACCGACCAACTGGCAGAAGCGCCCTGTCGCTTTTGGATCCTGAGTGCTTGCAACAGGGTGAGTCCCCTCAGCCCTTCACAGCTTCCTCTCTAGTTTGTTTTAACTCAGGTCCAGCTTCACAGGAGACCAGACTAGGGGAGACCCAAGTGGGTAGTTTTTTCTGTAAGGGTTTCTCAGCTACTTCATTGTTCTTAAGCATGACAGTTCTTCTCTGTCCCTCTTCTCCCAGGGCTGACCCCTCCTGCTACAGCTGATGACCATTCCATCGAACATGGGGACTGTCAGCTAGTAACTCTAAAGAAAGCATTACCCTCTCCCTGCAAAACTCATTCTGCCCCCTCCCACGACCTTCCCAGCCGCTGGCTGTTCCCCTCCCGCAGCACCTTTCCCACAGCAGCCACAGGGACAGGAGGTGGCCCAGGGAGCTGCCTCTGGAGCTCCCCACAGTGACAAGCCACCTCTGAAATAAGCCAGAGAACAAATTGCAGCCTGTGCAGGACGTGGTCTGAGCAAACATCCTGCTCTTCTTCCTCCCACAGCTCTCAGACTCCCTCTCCAAGTACCACTTTCTCCCAATTGCTCCTGCCTGGGACAACCCAGACCCCTAAAGCTACAGTGTCCAAGGACGTGTGTCTGATCTGCATCAAGACGCAGTCCGTCTTCAAACAGAGCTCCAGCTACATACATAGCATCAACTGAATACTGAACAATATCAAAAATACAGTATAAGGAAAGAAAACAGAATTGAAATGCTTAATGGCATATTTATACACATTTATCAACAGTCAACAAAAAAGGCGGCAAGTTACACATCCATTCTGTATGCTAACGATCCTGATGCACATATATGTAAACACACATGCTTGGTTGATGCATATACATATAGCCACATAACAGAGTAGATGACCTGAAGGAGCTATGCTGGGGAGCAGGGGAAGGGGCTACCTATTGCAAAACCTCGTCTCATTCTTGACGTGCACAATGTGGACATTCAGGGCAGTGTGGCTTTAAGGCTATTTCTAAGGCTGAATCTTTTCTTGTCCAACCCCTCAATCCGAAGTTCTGTTGAAGCACTTCCTCCTCTTACCCAGCACAACTTGATATATATATATATATTTACCTATATACTTTTTAAAGGCCCTATATACTAAAAGGCAGGAAGAAGAAAGGGGGGAGTGGAAGGGGGGGAAAAGCCTCCGAATGGATCAGTTTGCCCCAGTGCAGGAATTTCCTATCCTGTAGCGGCAAAGGCCACGGCAGCCACGGGCAGTGGACAAGGTACTAGTTTAAAATGATCACGGGTCTCCCTCCCTATCCGATCTGAAGCTCTTCATTGCAACGAAGGGGGAGAGTGAAATACTTTAAGAAACAGAAATATTCCTGAAGTGGGGAAGGTGATCACTAGTTTCAACTCCTCCCCTTACCTGCTTCGAGGTGGCAAAGAGCTGAGAGATACTATCATTTCCAGCTCAAGTGCCCACACAGCTAAGGAAAAGGCTTTGCTTAAAAATATATATCTATAGAACTATACATATAGATCATCTTTTTAGAGACACTCTGATTTTATTACATAGCTCCTGGGTCACTCTCCCCCTCTATCTACATGGTAACGGAGTGGCATACAACAGAAGCCACATACATCGAATTGGCAATCAAAGCTTACCAGGTCACAAGAAAGTGTTTCAACTGGTGCGATCTAAAATCCTGAATTCCCTTGCTTTGATAAGCTGATCTCCTGCCGTTGCTGTAACTGGAAGGTCTTAAAAATAAACTTTTTTTTTTTTTCCAAATCAGGTTATGACAATTTCCGAGCAATGTTACAGTGTGCGACAATATGCTATAAGTAAGGAAAATTTCACTGAACATGACAGTGATGCAAAGATGAAATTTTAAACATGTATGCATATGGCTGGGAACCCCCAAGCGTCATCCTGCAATACATAAATGCAGGATTTCTAAGGTTAAAGACTTTTTTTTAAAAAAAGTTTTCTTCTTTTTTCCAATACCATTTGTATGCAAGCATTAGCGTAACAGTGGAAACTTAGTACAGAACTAGACTCTCCCAAAAACACGTCTATAAAGAAACAGTAAAGGAGGTTAAAAAAGTGACTTAATTTTCAGTTTGTTACATTTGAAAAACTGGGACTAAAATTCCCCCCCAGCCACTGACCCTTTAATTTAACAAATCAATGGAAATGAGCCAATTTATAAAGTTACAGCTCCAAGAAAAAAACCCCACAAAAACAAAAAGCCAAAACCATCCCCACTCTTCAGAGAATAAAAAAAATTAAGCATGACTTCTGTTAAGGATTAACCTTGCGATGCAAACAGGTCGGAGAAGAACAACGCACCTGCGTTTCCCCCAGGACACATCGCACCCAGGTGACAGGGGCTGTTTCCTCTCCTCTCCTCTCTCCCAGGCTACTGGCAGTCAGCCAGGCTTCCCTACGGACAGCTTGGAAACGCCAGGGAGCGGGGGTGATGGTAGGAAAAGATGAGTACAAATGAACAAAAATGCTAAATCCTGCTTCAGCATCCAATTACATATATAAAAAAAATTGGTGTTGAAGAAGAGAGTAAAAACCAAGGCAAAATTTTCTGATAACAGGCTGCAGCCTTCTCCTCTGTACATCTTCCACCAGCGTTATTTCTGAGTTACAGGGGGTGGGGAAGGGGGAAGGAGGACTCGATCTCCTGCTACAGCAGCTTTCCCCATCACACAAAACTGATGTGTAACTAACTCAGCCACAAGGATACGGGAAAGTTTTATTTATTAAAAAAAAAAAAAGTACTTCAAAATAAAAATCCCCGCCGGACAGCTTGGAAACGCCAGGGAGCGGGGGTGATGGTAGGGAGTACAGAGTACAAATGAACAAAAATGCTAAATCCTGCTTCAGCATCATATATAAAAATGATAAGTACTGTATGGTAATATTGGAAGTATTTATATACATAGTTGTCTTCGTTTTGTTGAAAAATGTCTCCTGGTTACTTGG